GAGAAGGGGGTGACAGAGGATGAGAAGTTGAATGGCATCACTGACTCAATGGACATGAGTCTGAGCAAACTCAGGGAGAAAGTGGACAGAGAAGTGTGCTGCGGTTCATGGGGTCACGAAGAGTCGGACACAACTTGGAAACTAAAGAACAATATTAACAGTATTTAAAAGAGGGTGGTACTGGCATTCGGAGAGGCAGAAGATCAACTGAATAAATCTGAGTCTAGAAATCAATCTATACACCTATGGTGAATTTATTTTCATTAAGGAAGTCCAGACCATTCAATGGGAAAGAAGAGTTTTGACAACAAACTGCTCTAAGACAAATGTATATCCACATGCAAAAGTATGAATTTGGATCCTTATCTCATGTAATATATAAAAATTAACTCAAAATAGATCAAAGACCTAAATTTAAAAGCCAGAACTACAAAACTCTTAGAAGAAAATATACGTGTAAATCTCCAGAAACCTGGATTTGGCAATGGTTTCCTAGATATGATATCAAAGCATCAGCAACAACGAAAAAAAACTGGACTCAAATTAAAACTACTGATAAAATTTCTAACAATTAAATTTAAGGACTCCCCTGGTGGTCCAGGGGTTGGGAGTCTGTCTGCCAGGACAGGGGACATGGGTTCGATCACTAGTTCAAGAGGATCCCCCATGCCATGGAGCAACCAGATCCATGCAACAAAACTACTGCCAAGTGTCACAACTACTGAAGCCTGTGTGCCTAGAGCTGATGTCCCATAAGAGAAACCACTATGAGAAGCCCACACACAACAAAAAGTAGTCCCCATCTGCCATCACCAGAGAAAGCGCACGAACAGCAACGAAGACCAAAAATGCATACAGCAGCCAAAAATAAAAAGAAATTTTTTTTAATTTAAATTAAAATTCAAAACATTTGTACAAAGGACCCTGTCAAGAAAGGGAAAACAAAATCCCAGAATGGGAGAAAATATTTGCAAATAATACATCTAGTAAAGATCCAGTGCCCAGAATATACAAGGAACTCTTACAACTCAACAATACAAAAGCCCAAAAAAAAAAGGACAACTTAGTTCTTTTTTAATTTTTTAACTGAAGGATAACTGCTTTACAGAATTTTGTGATTTTCTGTCATACATCAACAATAATCAGCCACAGGTACATCCACGTCCCCTCCCTCTTGAACTTCCCTCCCATCTCCCCCCCACCCCACCCTTCAGCCTGTCACAGAGTCCCTGCTTGCCTTCCCTGGGTCACACAGCAAATTCCTACTGGCTATCTATTTTACGTGTGGTATTTTAAATTTCCATGTTACTCTCTCCATACACCTCATCCTCTCCCCCCTCCCCTCCCCCAATATCCACAGGTCTGTTTTCTCTGTCTGTTTCTCCATCGCTGCCCTGGAAATAAATTCATCAGTGCCACCTTGCTAGATTCCATATACAGGTGTCAGTATACGATATTTGTATTTCTCTTTCTGACTTACTTCACTCTGTATAATAGGTTCTAGGTTCATCCACCTCTTTAGAACTGACTCAGATGCACACGACCTAATTTTTTAAATCGGCAAAGGACTTAAATAGACATTTCTCCAAAGTACAAATTGCAAGTATGCACATGTAAAGATGTTCAACATGATTAGTCATTAGAAAAATGCAAATCAAAACCACAGTGAGATACCACTTCACATCCACTAGTAAGGCTATTACCAAAATAGTTAAGGAGTGAAGTAATGGTCACAAAAAGACAAACACTGTATGATTCCACTTATATATGGTACCTATAGTAGTCAAATCCATAGAGGCAGAAAGTAGAACGGTTAGGGGCTGAAAAGAGGTAGGGGAATGAGGAGTTTTTTGACGGGTATGGGCATGTGTGCTAAGTCGTGTCTGACTCTGCGACATTGTGGACTGTAGCCCACCAGGCTCCTCTGTCCCTGGGGATTCCCCAGGCAAGAATACTGGAGTGGGTTGCCATGCTCTTCTCCACAGGATCTTCCCAACCCAGGGATCAAACCTGGGTTTCTTACGTCTCCTGCACTGGCAGACAGGTTCTTTACCACTACTGCCACTTGGGAAGCCCTTATGAATATAGTTTCAGTTCTGCAAGATGAAAAGAGTTCTGGTTTTCCAATATGTACATTTACATAACACTACTAAACTGTACACTTAAAAATGGCAAAGAGGTAAATTTTATATTGTGTATTTTACTTCAATTAAAAATTTTAAATGTTAAAAAAGACGTAAGTATTACTGAGGGTATACAGAGATTGGATTTTTTTTTCTTACACACATTGCTGTTATGTAAAAATAGGGCAGTCACTTTGGAAAACAATTTGACAATGCCTCAAAAAGCTAAACACAGTTACCCTATTTCACTCCAAGGTGTGTGTACCCAAGAGAATGGAAAATATCACATAAAATCTCACAAGTAAATGCTCATGGCAGCATTATTCTTAATAGCAAAAAAAAGTGAAAACAACTCAAATGTCCATCAACTGATGAATGCATAAATAAAATGTGGTATATCCATACAATGGAATATTATTTAGCCATGAAAGGAAATGAAGTACCAATACATGCTACATGAATGAACCCTGAAAACATGCTAAATGAAAGAAGTCAGACCAAAAAACCCATATATTGTATAATTCCATTTATATGAAATGTCCAGAATAGGCAAATATACAGAGACATAAAGTAGATAAGTGGTTTTCCAAGGCTCAGAAAGGGAGGGGTAAGGGTTTAGAGTCACTACTGACAGGTATGCAGTTTCTTTTTGGAGTGATAAAAATTTATTAAATTGGATAGTGATGATGGCTGCACAGCTTCATGTATATACACAAAAAACACTGAATTATACACTTTAGTATATGTGAATTCTGTCTTAATAAAGAAATAAATATATGCTTGGTGACAGAAACCAAATATTTACATAGTCTCAAAGTATCTTCCTCAAAGTATTCAGTAATTACCAAGGGAAAAATATTAAGTTTACACTGGAAAATCCTGGCAGACACCACTTTAGCTAAATGATGAAGGTCAACATCACCAGTAAAATATCAACATCATGTACACTCTGATATGATACACTGAGGAGGGCACCTTCACTTCTGTGGTATCCTTCCCCAAAATGCAAAATCTTAATCTGATTAGGAGGAAATAGCAGATAAACCCAAGCTGAGGGCTTCCCAGGTGGCTAAGTGGTAAAGAATCCACCACCAATGCAGAAGACTCGGGTTCAATCCCTGTGTCAAGAAGATCCCCTGGAAAAGGAAATGGCAACCCACCCCAGTAATTCTTGCCTGGAAAATCCCATGGACAAAAGAGGCTGACAGGCTACAGTCCATGGGGTCACAAAGGGTCAGACACAACCTACTGACTTAACAACAACAAACACAAACTGAGGGACATTATACATCATTATATGTCTTTGATGTGACAAAAGCCATCCTTCATTTAGGAAGAAAGAAGCTTATAAACTAAATACTGTTCCTAAAACACGGTACCATAAATTTTTACTCCCAAACAATAAGTAACTAAAGGGAAGAGAAAAAAAGAATGAAATATTCTAAAATGATGTGAGATCTTTCAGCTTGTCATAAGAAAATGTATGCTAAGCATTTATGACTCTGTTTGACTATCTCCAGTACTATCTCATGTTCTAATTTCTGACACTATTTGTTGCTGTTTAGTTGCTAAACCATGTCTGACTCTTTCGAGACCCCATGGACTGTAACCCGCCAGGCTTCTCTGTCCAAGGGATTTCCCAGGCAAGAATAGTGAAGTGGATTGCCATTTCCTTCTCCAGGGGATCTTCCTGACCCAGGTATTGAACCCGAGGGTCCTGCATTGGCAGACAGATTCTCTACCGCTGAGCCAAAGGGAGAAGCCCTATTTATTTTACATCAAAACAAAATCTGCTTTATATTAAGCCTCAAATACTCAGAATACTCAAATACTCAGTCTAAGAGGCAAAAGAGACAATCCAGTCCACTGGCTCTCAAAGTGCAGTCCTGGACCAGTCTCTAGGAAGATATTTTAGACAGTCAAATTCAACACTCACTCAAAACTTCTGAATCAGAAACAGGTGGTGAAGCCCTGCAACAGGGTTTTAACAAGCTCCCCAGGTAATTCCAATACAGGCTAAAGTTTGAGAACTACCAATCTTATCTAATTCCCTCATCATAGAAGTAACTTGCTTAAAGGTACAAGGTTTCTTAAGAGTGGCCATGCCTAAAACCTAGGCTTCCAACCCCCAGTCCAATGCATTTCTGACAGCCCACACTATCCCACCACAGGTCCTAGTTCATTACAACACTGCCTCAATTATCCTATCTCCCTTTCCCTACTATCATTTTCTGTTCCAGTTCCATCTACTTCTTATCATGTGGTAGAGTCATAAAACTTGTCACTTTAAATGAAATACAACATTCCCGGTAGACAATAAGAGCCAAAAGAATTAGATGCTTAATTCTTAAACTGATTCGAACTATCATTTCAAACAGAATTAGTGTTTTTCATGTATCTTCTCTACTACACCGTTTGTCTCCTTTAAGTAATTAAGGGAATTATTCAGCACATCAATGCAGTCAATTAATGGTGATTTTCCCACCTTAACATCGAGAGTTACTCAAGTACTATATGTCCTTTACAAGTAAACCTCTTCTGGTATACTATGCATAAACATGTAAAGGCGAGCAAGACACGGTAAAGTAGGAGTAAGCTCAAAAATAAGTGCAGCAAACTGAGAAAGAGAGAGAAGCAAAGTCAATCCTCTCCTTCACAAATGAAAACCAAGAGCCTCCCAAAGAAAGAAAAAAACAAGAGCCAAATAAACTCAAGGAAATTATCTGTTGTACATTTAAAAAATAAAATTTCACTTAAATATAGATTAGATGGTAAAATAATTTGTTTGAGCTAAAGAGACCCTTGATAACCGTGGCTTAACAAAACTCCAAATTTTTAAACATGAAAATCTGAATAAGCTAGTAATTAGATTCTTACCAGGCCTGATGTGGTGTCTTCATCACTGTCTCCTTCCTGGCTGCTTTCTGTATCAGCACTGAGAATCACTGTATCTGAAGGGCTCTTGTACTGCCATTTGTTGCTTTCAGCATGAACATCCAAGGATGATTTTTGCAGAGTGGATTCTCCCTTGGAAGATGTGGCTTCCATCTTTGGAGTTAAAATCCTTCTGCAACTTTCCTTTATTTCAGCTTTCTTAGATTTCTTACATGTCACTTCATTGTTAGAATTCTTATCTAATAGGGATTTGGGGCGCTTAAGTTGGCCTGTCTTGTAGCTACTGAGTGAAAAGGGGACCAGATACACCTTAGCTATTTTTCCTAAAACTGTAGTCTGTAGCGGTCTCAGAGATGTATCAGCGATGTTTTGGTTTTCCTTATATTCATTCACCTATTCAGGTCAATAAAGGAAAACAGTATTAAAATTCCAGGTCCTGAGCCTTTTCTTACTCTTTACAACCCCATAGACTACAAACCACCAGGCTCCTCAATTCATGGGTTTCTCCAGGCAAGACCACTGGAGTGGGCTGCCATGCCCTCCTCCAGGGTTATCTTCCCAACCCAGGGATTGAACCCACTTCTCTTCTGTCTCCCGCATTCTCAGGTAGGTTCTTTAGCACTAGCACCACCTGGGAAGTCCCACAGATCTGTGTAAGTAGCTCTAATTCCTATTTCATAATGACAACATAAATCCCAGCTGACAGCCTGTAAGGAAACTTTTTTTCCCTCCAAAATTCTAGATACCTAATTCATTTACTGGGCACATTTCTGAGCCATGAGTCCCCCAGACCAATAAAAAAAAAAAATGACTACAATTTGTAATTGAGAAAACTGAGTAACTGGAATTGTTCCAAGAGTGGGAAACTCACCACAACGACTGCAAAAACAAACGCAGACTTCCTGACCCCAGCCTGACGCTGTTTCTGGGGTTACCGATAGACATCTTCCTTGGGGCCAAGGGCCCAGTTTCCATAGAGGAGAACCAGGACAGGCATCCCCGCTTATCTTTTGAAGCAACACCCGGAAAAACCCAAGACCCGTTACACTGAGAGATGCCCCAAAGAGCGGGAAGTAGTTTTGCAGCGAGGAAGTGCCGGTTGGCAAGTCCTCCCCGGCCTATGCCAGGCATATCCCTCACGAAGAATGAGGCAGCAACACACCCGAAAAGGACAAGCGGTTTCTCACATTCACCTGAAGTCGCTGTCTGGAGACCCCCTTCTGCTCAGCTTCCGCGCGGGACCCAGACATCTTTCCGCAGCGTAGCTGCTGGCGTCTTCCCGCCAAGACTGCGGCGAGAGGCGGGGATTAGCGGAAATGGGCGGGGCGAGGAGGAGCCCTGCGCCGGGGAGGCTCGGGCGGCGCTGACCCCGGCCGACGGGAGGGCGAAGGGGCACGGGGCATTACATTTTCGCCGAGGTACGCAAGCTTGCCAGCCTCACCCCAAACTCAAATTCTTTAGGGAAGCGAAGGGACCGAATCGACATTTTTACCTTGGATCCCGGTGGTTTTTGACGCTGCTGATGCCTGTATCTTACTTTGAAAACCACTTGCGCTTCTCCTAAAGAAAAACCACCTCGGCTAGCAATGTGAGCCTGGAAAAGATTCAGGGGCACTTAGTTGCCAGATGAACTAGAGAAGAAATGAAATCAACCTGCCGGTTTTACCTCGACCCGATGGTTCCTTGTGATCCCCCCACCAAAAAATTATGCCCTGTGGCTACCGTATTCTCTTCTTCCTAGGAAGGGAAGCATTTTGACTTTTTTTCCCCCCAAGAGCTGATTAGGTGGCTTAAAACTTCACCCACCAGTTAACTAAGATTCTAGTGATGACGTTACAAAGTCCAAGGACAGGGGGAAAGTCTTAAATAATATTTGTATCACAAAGCACCACAAATAAGATTTTAGGACAGTGTATTTCTTATAGTCATTGTCATATTAAAAGTTGTTTTGTTGTTGTTGTTTTCTATTTTCTGGGTTGCCAAGAGCAGAAAGAATTGCCTTCCCATTAGATTTACTCCCTCGGGATAGCATAGTTTTGGAGCTGATATATTTACAATACAAATTTCTATCAACTCTACTTTTACAGTACTTTGTAGCTCAAAATTTGTGTCGTGCACTGTTCTTTGATTGAGACTTGCCCAAATGTATTTCTCCCAGCTAAGCCACAATTGTAGAACAGGTGAAACCACTTGAGAAGTAATGCTACTAACAGTACCTTCAGGAAAGTTCCCTTCAGCAATAATTCACTCCCAGACTCAAAAATTACTGATAATAACAGAGCCTGATATATGCCATATTTCTGACTTCAAGAATTGCTCACACTGTCCCTTCTCTCCCTACACAGCAGTTATAAAATCTTTTCTACAGTACATGTGTTCTACCAACTAGCCTTTTTTTTTTTTAAACACGATCCACCTAGAAAATTGGGGCTATTTGTTCCTATTCTATAAACCCTTTAAGGCTAACAAAATAAAATTCAAGGACACGAGCCTTTTAACAATATTCCATACTCCTTAGAGAGATCTAAGTGACCTAAACACAAGTGCTTAATAATTACTTACGGACCCATATACAAACATTCCAGCCAGGAATATGTTGTAATAGGCAGTCTCAAGAAATGGACAGAACGGAAAGCTTAATAGTGTTCGGATTTCAGACATTATTCTAAGCCGCTTGGGGGATTTTTTTTTTTTTTTTTCTCTTGCCACTGGCCTAAATTACCACCACTTGCCCTCAAGTGACCAAAAAATACCTCACCACAATCCGCTCAGCCTCATCAACTGAGCTAATCAAGTGCTGTTAACGGGATTTCTATTCCGATTAAACTCTGAGCTTTCAAATTTGACAACCTGAACAAACTGCAGTTCATTATCTCCTGAGTTTCATTATTCATCACTACCCTATAATACTCGGGTTCAGACCAACCTAACCAACAAAACCTTTACTTGAGACTTCCCTCGTCGCAGAGTCTTAACAGCAAATCCCAGTGGAACCAACTTCCCACACGGAAGACGACTACAAACACTGCGAGGCTGCGAACGCCAGAGCAGCCTATGGACATGCGCAGTAACAGACTCCGCCTTCTAGTCGTAGGCGTCTAAAAGTCCTCCACAATCCCACAATCCTCTGGTCCCATACTTCCGGTTTTTCTAGCTCTGCCGTGGGTGGTGTTTCTATCAGTCGCGCAGCAATTTCCAGTGGTCCTTGGAGGAGAGGGTTTTGTCTTTTCGTTGACGTTGTAGCTCTTCACTTTGAAATCAGTCGAGTTTCGGGAGTCACCGCCACTGTCGTCAACATGTCGGTCCCAAGCTCACTCATGAAGCAACCGCCTATTCAGTCAACGGCTGGGGCCGTCCCGGTTCGCAATGAGAAAGGTACTGTGTTGAGCGATTTTCCAGTCCGATCTTACCTTTTCGCCAGCATATTCCAAACTTACCCCGGGCCCACCACCTTATCCCCAGCGATCCTTAAGACCCTGCCCCTATTTCCTCGACTTTCCCCGTCAAGTTCGGGTCCGATCGTGGTGCTACTTTTAGAACTCATCTTATTAGTAGAACCTGTGTGCGCTCTCCACCAATAAGTTAAGCTAATACAGTGAATGCCTGCTATTTGCCTGGGGTTGTGTGGCATTTCATTGTCCATTATCTATATGGTGCTCGTATCATTGTAATTACGTGTCCACCTCCGTCTACTACATCTACTACATTCCTACTTGAGGCAGGAACTCTATCTTAAAACTTTTTATCCCTTTCAGCCATCGCAGTGACTGTATTTGTTAAATTGAATACAAAATGGTGTAAAACTGGTGTAAGGAACTCGTAGTCTGTAGATGTGAGACATACAAAAAGAGGCACATTCTGAACAAGTTTGTGGTCTTTCCCACCTATAAAACCTGTCACATAGTTGATATAAACGAAATGCTTTGGGAGGACAGAGAAGGAGTAATCGCTTCAGATTGGAGTATTTGATCTTTAAAGGATGAGTAGGATTCTTATGAGTGCAGATGGATGAAGGAAAACTGTACTTGTTTGGGGAGTCAGACTGAAAGTCCTAGTTTTTTCAGTAAAGTATTTGGAAAATAATGTCCGTTCTTTTTATCTTTTAAGTATACCGTATTCTATCTTTGTGTATTCTGCCTTTTGTTGTTGTTTTTTTTCTTAAATCAACATGACTTTGGAGAAGTGTCCTTTGGATACATGAAGATCTTATTCATTCATTTTAACTGCTTGTTGTTTAGTCGCTAAGTCCTGTCTGACTCTGGGACTCCATGGGACTGTAACTCACCAGTTTCCTCTGTCCTTGGGATTGCCCAGGCAAGATTACTGGAGCGGGTTGCCATTCCCTTCTCCAGGGGATCTTCCCTACACAGGGATAAAACCAATGTCTCCTTCATTGGCAGGTGGATTCTTAACCTCTGAGCCACCAGGGAAGCCCTTTAACTGCTTATAAGTTCCATTGTATAATTAAACCACAGTTTGATCCCTGTTGAGGGACACTTAGTTGTCGTTTTGTTACTTTTTTTCCTTTTACAAATAGTGCTTAAACATGTCTCTTTAGTGCACTTATGTAAAAATTTCTACTAGGGTAGTGTGAATCTATATTGACACATCATTTATCATTCAGTCAGTAGTTTACATTAAGATTCACTCTGATGTACATTCTATGGATTTGGACAAATGTACAGGGATATATATCCATCGTTATGGTATCACACAGTATTTTCACTTAGTAATATGCATTTAAGGTTCCTGCATGTATTTTCATGGCTTGATAGCTCTTTTTGTTTTGTTGTTGCTGAGTAATAGTCCATCATCTGGAAGTACCATAGTTTACTTATCCATTCACTGCGTGAAGGACACCTTGGTTGCTTACAAGTTTTGACAGTTATGAACAAAGCTACAATAAATATCCATGTTCAGGTTTTTATGTTTTGCTCCTTTGTATAAATACCAAAGAGCAGAAATTAGATCATATGCTAAGAGTATGCTTAGTTTTGTATGAAACTAGCTTCCAAAGTGGCTGTGCCATTTTGCATTCCCACCAGCAATAAATCAGGGTTCCTATTGCTCCACATTCTTATCAGCATTTGGTATTGTCAGAGCTCTGGATTTTGGCCATTCTGTGTGTAGCAGCATCTCATTTTTTTTTTTAATTTGCATTCCCTGAAGACATATAAGGGCTTCCCAGGTGGCTCAGTGGTTTAAAAAAAATACTGCGAATGAAGAAGACAAAGGTTTGATCCCTGGGTGAGGAAGATGCCCTGGAGGAGGAAATGGCAACTCACTCCAGTATTCTTGCCTGGAGAATCCCCATGGACAGAGGATCCTGGCGAGCTACAGTCCATGGGGTCGCAAAGAGTCGGACATGACTAAGCCATAGAGCATGCACGAAGACATAAAATGTGGACCATCTTTTCACATACTTATTTGCCATCTGTATATCTTCTTTGGCAAGGTGTCTGTTAAGGTCTTTTACCTCACCTTGTTCTTCAGAATTGTCTTGACTCTTTTTGACCTCCTGTTCTTCCATATGATTTTAGAATCAGCCTGGGGACAGCTTTTAATGAAATTACATTAAAATTATAGAGCACGCATTTATTGATTTACTTGGGCACAGTTGCCGTCTTCTCATCTTTGAACGTGATACATTTCTTCATTTATTTTGATCTTTTATATCTTTAAAACAATTATATTTTATATTTTTCCTCCTATAGCCTCACACATCACTTGTTGAATTTATTCCTTAGTATCTTATAGATTAGTTGCTATTGTACATAGTATTTTTAAAGTGTATTTTCTAATTATATGTAGCCAATGTACAGGTACATTTATTTTTATCTAGCATTTATACACCTTTCTACTTGAATTTTTTAAGCTTCTCTGGTTATCTTGTATTTTCTACGTAAGTAATCATATTGGCTGCAAATTGTGGAAGTTTCTTCCTTTTTAATTCTTACCTTTTATCTCTTTCTTTTCTTATTGCCCTGAAACCATAATACATTGTTGATTAGAAGGTATGATAGGGACAACCTGATGATGCCCACTGTTTTTTAAAGGAGTGCTTCTAATATTTTATCATTAAATATAATGTTTGCTATATCTATTGTTAAGATTGTGTGACTGTAAGTATATAAACTTTAAAAAGTACATTACTTTTTCCCCTGTTAATTTTCTAAGGTTAGGCCATCCTTGTAGTCCTGGGCTAAATCTTAATTATGTCCCTATAGCTTAGAGAGGCTTCTTGGTTAGTTTTTATGTTGCCTGTATCTATGTAAGTGAAGTCCACCTAAAGTTTTCCCTTGAACTGTCCAGCTTGGTTATCCAGGTTGTATTCATCTTAGAAAATGTGTTGGTTAGTTTTCAGTGTTTTTCTGTACATTGGATTGTAAATGACAGATAATCTACTCTTGCAGGTTTGGTAGCACATAAGCTAAAAGAAAAGGTAGAAATAAACATTAGAAGATCGAGTTATGTGGTAATAGATTATATAGAGACTGCCAGAGAAATAGCTTGAGGAACTAAAAAAATGACCGAACACCATTTCAATCTTATATTCCCACTTAGGTCACCCTTACTGTGTGCTGGGCACTGTTACAAATAATTCACTTAAGCATATAGTTAAGGTGGATGTAGTCTCCCTATTAGGAAGGACTTTGTATTGTTTCACTGCCCACCCTTCCTCCACTCACTGTACCCAAGCTAAACCTCATTATCATTAGCATTGGTGTTCACAGGAACGCCTTCTCATGACTTGGCCTTTGTAGGAAAAAGATGTAGTTGAATAGATGGTTGGGTCAGGGCTCCTTCTCCTGCTTGGACTTGGTTTGCCAGGAACACGGGGCTTTGTCACCTGGAAAGGCCAAGGGTTGAAGGACATTGGGAAAGAGGTTACTGAAACTTAAGTTCTGTCTCTTATCCAGGTGAGATTTCGATGGAAAAAGTGAAGGTAAAACGTTATGTGTCGGGAAAGAGGCCAGACTATGCCCCTATGGAGTCCTCAGATGAGGAGGATGAAGAGTTTCAATTCATTAAGAAAGCCAAAGAACAAGAAGCAGAGCCGGAGGAACAGGAGGAGGATTCATCTAGTGACCCTCGGCTGCGGCGTTTGCAGAACCGTATTAGTGAAGACGTGGAGGAGAGGTAATGACGAGGGCTGTGTTACCCTGGAGCGAACCCAGCAACAATCGCTGATACTTTAACAGTGCTTACTGTGTGCCAGGCGCTGTCCCCGGTACATTACTTTACTAACTGTTGTAATCCACAGTGATTTATGAGGGCATGACTATCCCCGCTTTCACCAGTCAGGAAACTGAAGCAGAGTGGGGTGTGGAAAATGACTCACTAAGGGGACTGAAAGCACAGACCGCTGGTTGGTTTGTTGAGGGGTCTTTTTAGCACAGAGATGTTTTCTAAAATTTGAGAAATTGATCTTTTCCAGGTAATTATTCTAAAAGCTAATGAGGAGAAATGATACCGATGAAGTAGGAGAAAAGAACTGATGAGTGGTCTCACATCAGAAAAGGAACCCTCCCAACAAGGGATTTTGTGTATTTTGTATTGACTGAGACATTACCTTACAGAATAGCCAGAGGTTCCCAACTTTCACAGTTCACATTGTCTCAGGAGTTTTTTCACAGAGCCTGTGGGCCCAAACAGTTCTTTTTATTTTATTAAGTAGTTAGAGCCAAATGATTTAATAAATATTTATATCCTAGCAACTTAGATACTTGAAAACTTTAATACCTATAAGAGAAAAAAGATTTTTATTTCATTTTTATATAATCACAGTTACTTACTACTGGGGTTTGTGTGCCTCTTGGGCACTGACAACTTCTCAAACCTCAGAGTCACATTGACACTGTCACCCATTTCCAGTTCTATATTGACTTTCATGCATAACTTGCTTTTTATCACAGCAGCCCCCCCAAAAAAACAATTTTACAAAGATACGATACCACTGAAAGGAAACATAATGTGATCTGCTGTTGAAAGTCAACTACTTTGAGCTTTACAGTATATCCCAGGGCACCCATCTAAGCTTGGTCCAGTGCCCCAGGGTGCCTCAGCATACATGTAATGTCTTAGGTCCAACTTGACTGTTTCTTTTGACACTGAGTTAGTTTCTTTAATCTGCCCCTCAGTTTCCTAATCTCGAGGCTTCAGTACTAGTAAAAGGAAACGTCACATCCTGGTGCTCTGTGACTAAGGGAGGTTGTTTTTGTGAGGCTGGTATTACAGTCGGACACTGTCTTTCAGGTTGGCTCGACACCGGAAAATAGTGGAACCTGAAGTGGTTGGAGAAAGTGACTCCGAAGTAGAAGGAGATCCTTGGCGCATGGAACGAGAAGATAGCAGTGAAGAAGAGGAAGAAGAGATTGATGAAGAGGTATGATTAAGGAAAGTGGGAAGTTCTTTCTGGGTGGAAGAAGAAATTAGGGCCAGTGCTCCTTTGTTGAGCCCTTAGAAGCATAAGATAATCTGCTTTTGGCAGAAGTCAGATCCAGTGTTCCCTTCTTGTTTTGGATAGGATTGAAACAGAGTGGTACTAAGTTGCATTTACTCAACCAGAATTTGTTGAGCTTGATGAGGTAAGAATAAAAAGCCACCGCAGAGCACAGGCCGTTTGGCTGACTGGCTTGGACATGTAACTTGATAGGAGATAGAGCGGCGCCGTGGCATGATGCGCCAAAGAGCACAGGAGAGAAAAAATGAAGAGCTGGAAGTCATGGAGGTGGAAGACGAGGGACGTTCTGGGGAGGAGTCCGAATCAGAGTCTGAGTATGAGGAGTACACAGACAGTGAGGATGAGATGGAGCCTCGCCTTAAGCCAGTCTTCATTCGGAAGTAAGTATTTCACAGACCTGGCCTGAACCCACATAATTACTGCTTTCTGGGTCTGAAGAGGGAAGCCTCTTTTCTCGCTCATGCTCTTCTGAAATGCAGGCACTAAGTGAAGTCTTCTGCCCGGTGCCCCAGCTCAGCAGAGTGTTTGCTGAGGAGTGGCTTGGTGCTGGGCTTCCCAAGTGGCTCAGTGGGTGAAGAACCCACCTGCCAATGCAGAAGACATGAGTTCAGTCCCTGGGTTGGGAAGATCCCCTGGAGGAGGGCATGGCAACCCACTCCAGTATTCTTGCCTGAAGAATCCCATGGACAGAGGAGCCTGGTGGGCTGCAGTCCATGGGGTCACAAGGAGTCAGACACGAGTGAAGCGACTGAGCACACGCGCATCTTGGTGATGGTCTGAGTTAGTTTTCACATCTCCTTTTCCACTTAAAGAAAACATACCTGCCAAGGTCTTATATTATTTTAAATACAAAATCAAGCTTAAGAGCAAATTCCTATTCCTTTCCTAATGGCTAGAAATCCTATAGTCCAGCAGGTTTCTTGATATTCAGGCAGTTCAAAGATGATGGGATTTTGATGTTCTAAAGACCAGAAATGATTCCCACTTTTAGCTCTTTGCAAATAATAAAGCCAGAAACCATTTGGCTTTGTCTGCTTTGAATGCGACTTGATTAAGGGAACAAAGAGCTCCACTCTAAGGACTTTGGGCAATTAACAGGACCTCTGTGCTGCAGGAAGGACCGGGTGACGGTTCAAGAACGTGAGGCTGAAGCATTGAAACAGAAGGAGCTGGAACAGGAGGCCAAACACATGGCTGAGGAGAGACGCAAGTACACACTCAAGGTGCTGGGCGTGGCTGTGAGGATTGAGTGTGAGGAGTTGTGTGTTTCGGTCTGTCTGAGGGAGAATAAGGAAGTCCAACAGTTGAATTGTTCTCCCTATCCAGATTGTAGAGGAGGAAACCAAGAAAGAGCTGGAGGAGAACAAGCGGTCTCTGGCTGCCCTGGATGCACTCAATACTGATGATGAAAATGATGAGGAGGAATATGAGGCCTGGAAAGTTCGGGAGTTAAAGAGAATCAAGAGGGACAGAGAAGACAGAGAAGCGTGAGTAATGGGATGAGCTTAGAGCTTAATACTGCTGGGTGGTCATGTTCCTAGTAGGGTAGCTCTCAGGCTCCACACCTACTGTGAGTTCCATTCTAGCTTTCTTCAGGGTTCCTACAGCTAGGTGTGTTCCCCATAACTGGAATGTGGCTTATTGTAATAAAATCAGGGAAGAGAAACACATTTTGTCAGTGTTTCTCCACAATAAAAGTGCAGCTGATACTCCCTTTAGTAGTTTCCTGGTAGACACAAACTATTTACTAGCTTTAATCAGTTTTCTGTTGTTGCATAACAACCCAACCCAAAAGTATATGACTTAAAACAATTATTTCTCACAATTTTGGGAGCAGTTCCTCTACCATACTCACTGTTAGAGCAAAATCATCTTGGAGCTGCACCACCCATTCCTAAAAACTACTAGGAATGCTTTTTTTTTTTTTGAAGAAAAGGGACCTATGACTCTGCACCTCCCAAAAAAGGTTAAAACTGCTGCAATCTAGTTAATGATGGTAACCTTTGGTTTGTGACATGTAAGCACATTACTAAAGAAATACGAGTCAAGTCTTATACAGAATTAAATTCTGATTTTTTTTTAAAAAACAAAGGTGGCTCTTCAGGGAAGGGACATTCGTAATGTTATAAAATCAAGCAGTAGTAGCATGTCTGAACCTCAAAAAGACTAGAATCAACTTTCCGACGTTTGCAGTACCTGGTCTCCGTGCATAATGAAGATTACCTGACCTTTTTATTTATTAAACTTCCGATCTTAATTCCTAACCATAACCAGAATTGATGAAGATAGATAATGCTTGAAAGGAGGTGGGACTGTGTCATATTTAGATAAGTGGGTCTTTCTGAAACTAAAATGAAATAAATAGTTTTCATTCTCTGAACAGACTTGAGAAGGAGAAAGCAGAAATTGAACGAATGAGAAACCTAACTGAGGAAGAGAGGCGAGCTGAGCTTCGGGCAAATGGCAAAGTCATCACCAACAAAGCCGTTAAGGGCAAATACAAGTTCCTACAGAAGTATTATCACCGGGGTGCCTTCTTCATGGTAAGAAGTGAGAAGAGACTGGAATAACCCCCCATTTTCCTACCAGTGGTCAACTTTCTCATTTGCTTTTTGCCTGTGAAGAATATAAAACTAAATAGAGGAAAGCATTGGCAGCAGGATTTCAGAAATGGCAACAACTATTGTCATTTGGCCCCAGCTCTCAGGAGGAAATGATGTAACAGCAGAATTGAGGAACTGAAAGAGACAGTGATCTAGACTAGACTATTTAGGTCCCCCAAATCACTTAGATATCATTTTTCATAGCTGAGAAATTTTGGTTATGAGAAAACCAAGCTCTGTAAAGAGCTTTAGATTAACTCATGTTTGAGTGGTTTAATTCACTTCATTCTCAGTGGACAGAAAGTGACTAAATCTGACCCGAAAGTTGTTAATTATCTAACCATTATTTGTAATGCCATGATCTTTATTCTTTATATAAAAACCAAAGTCAAAACAGCAGTCTGTTAACCCTGTATAAAATGAAAAGGACTGCTTCCAAATTATTTGGATTAGCACTAGTGATAACTCCATAATAGAGAGATAGCAGGAAAGGAAATGGGAGAATTGATGGCATTTATTACTCCAGTGGCATGTGGTTTGTTAAATTATTTCCTGATATTAAAGAAGTTTGTATCAAAAAGTAATCTAGCTTTTACAGATGCTGTTTAGCAAACCTTAAGTATCTCCACCGCAGCTAAATTCCTGCCTTTTGCTGTAGATACCAGTAAAATTTTAAAACTTTTAAAAATAAGGAGGATTCCTTATTCTTCTCCCACCGAAATCAGTCTATCTAGTCAGCAGGAAATGTTTGCTTATTATGCAGTTTTCCAGCCCACATAGCTTTCTAGATAGGAGTCAGTGGAGATTATTAATTACTTCTTAGATTGCTTCAAAGTCATAAAATATCATTGTTTAGCATTTCAACAGTTTTAATAATCAAGCTCCTCAGAGAACCAGTGCATTCCTGACTAAGATACATAAGGGAAGGTTCATGTGAAAGTCTTTTGTTGCACATACTCAAATGTCAACTCTTCTCATCTAGACAAGGAAGGTGAAGTGGAAATGGCTTCTGAGGTTAAATGAGGGACTCTCAGGCTCTAACAAGGAGAAAAGTTGGTCTCATGAAAGGCCTACCTTTAAATTGGGTCTTTCAAGAGCTGACGGGAACAGAGTATCCCAAAACTGTTCTGTTAAAAGATTCAGCCCTTCTGTGAAACTTTCCTTAAGATGGTACTGTTTTAATTCTTCCAGTACATATGTTTATGGTCTGTATCACATTACAGTTGTATTTATATGTTGATTTGAAACTACTCTATAGTTGTTTTATACAGTTCATTAGATAAACCTTTTGAGCATTTAGTGTATGAAGGGTAGTACTGTTTAACACAGCCATAGCTCCTTGCCCTCAGAAGGCTTACAATAGAGCTAAGGCAAATAGATACTGTAACATAAGAAAGAGTGAACGTACTAAAGGACTTCTGAAGAGAGAGGTGTTATATTTGGTAGGATTGAAAAGGATATCAAGGAGATGACACATAAGATGTATAGACTTTCTAACATTTGGTGGTAGGAAGAAAGGAACCAGAAGAAATGGAGGCAGAAAGTATCATCTGTAAAGGCAAGGAGTACATTAAGGCTATGTAGCATTTGGCCTTGACTAGTACACAGAGGAATTATGCTTATTTAGTAAAAGAGAGAACCTCTGAAAGCTTTTGAGCAGGACAAAGGTATTATGAGGGTTGTGTTTTAGGAAACACATTAATCTAATGAAATGTGTAAAGTTGATTGTAGGCAAAAACTGTTAATAACCAAAGTAATGAGAATCTAGAGAGAATGTTGGTCCTATTAGAGAAGTTAAGTCAGGAAAAGGCTGATTTGGAAAATTTCAGGGATGTGGTTTTCACTTTAGTTGTGAGTTTGAAATCCCAACAGAATACCTAAGATATATATTGGGCAGTAGAAGAATCAGGATTGGAGATTTGAGAGGCCTGTATAAAGTTGAAATCATGTGAGTGAATGAACATATTGAGTGAAAAGAATATAGCCAACCTTCAAGAATTAGCTACATTTAAGGAGGAGAAAGACAACACAAAGGAAAAAAGGAGTATCATCTCCTCAACTTGATGTAAGCTTTTGGTTCAGTAGGTTCAATGCCCTCTGGTTTCTTTTTATCCTTTGTTGTAAAATTTAATGAATTTGTAGTTTGAGGGACTTCCCCTGATAGTCCAGTGGTTACAGCTCTTCGCTTAAACTGCCAGGGTGGGGTGTGGGTTTAATCCCTGGTCAGGGAACTAAGCTCCCATATGCTGCACAGTGCAGCCCAGATAAATAAATAAAAATAATTTTAAATGGTTTGAAAAATGAGATATACATAAGAAATAAAACCACAAGATTGATAAGACTCTTTTTTACAGGATGAGGATGAAGAAGTATACAAGAGAGATTTCAGCGCACCTACCCTGGAGGATCATTTCAACAAAACCATTCTTCCCAAAGTCATGCAGGTATGGGGAACCTTAATGACATGAGAGAAAAGTAACGTATTGAGGCTGGACCATGATAAATCTGGTGGTATAACTCATCATCTATCCATACAGGTCAAGAACTTTGGACGCTCTGGTCGTACCAAATACACCCACCTCGTGGATCAAGACACCACCTCCTTTGACTCAGCATGGGGCCAAGAGAGTGCCCAAAATACAAAGTTCTTTAAACAAAAGGCAGCCGGGGTACGAGATGTATTTGAACGACCATCTGCCAAGAAGCGGAAAACTACTTAGAGTTCAACTACTTGTTCTTCCAGCTGTGGGACACAAGGGGAAATCTCAGCATCTGGTCCTTGATTTGTTTTTACTATTATTCACATGGCCCCTGTATCCAGCCTGCTGAACCTATTGCCATACTTGTGGCACTGGGCAAACCCAGTCTTTGAAAGTGCTTTGTGAGGTTTGGACTCATGCTGAGAAGCCCGGAAAAAAAGCACTGTCCAGGTAGGATTAGAGGCTCCCACTTAGGACTATTTCTGAGAAATCTTGAATGTCATTACTGCTCTGGCTTCCCATATTCACTTGGGACTGTTCCAAGTTTCTTTTTCCAGCTGAGCTTGGGTTAGAAACATGGATGGGCATGTAAGTGGACAATGTATTATTTCTACCCTACAGGAAGTCTAAAGTCATTGAAAACCTGTTTTGCATTTTTGGGTAAATTTTTCTAGGCAAACATACTTTTTGATCCATTTATGTGCAAGTGTCAAGAAATAAAAAAATCATACACCAAGAGGTTTTTTAGCATATCAGAAATAAAATGTGTAAGCTGACAAATAGCTACCTATTAACTAACAACTATATCCCTGTGCAGTTCCGGGTGCTTTTTGCAAACTTGGTGGCCCTGTTCTGGTACGCCTACCTGGCCTCTCTGGGGAAGTGAAGATGACCCGGAGAGGGTGTCAGACACACTGATGGCTGGGGTGGGGTGACAGAACAGAAATAAGCCAGCCTGGCTCTAGATCATGAGATTCAAGATGACTCAAACATGACGGATGGAGGAACAGAAATCTTCTAATGTCAGAATCGTGTTTTAAAAAGGCAATCGCTGTCCTCAACTGGTGCTGCCCTAGAAACATAAATATAGCAGAGATGATTTCACCTGTCACCTTGGATTGAATTAGGATCACAATAAACTATAATGTAGCATTAAAAAAAAAAAAAAAAGACAGTAGGGAATTGCCAGGGAAAGGATGTTTCACATTTTAATCATACCCTTTCATCTCAGGAACAAGCACAGATGCTACACAACCTATATTGTAAATGGCACCTAGAATTACTCCGTGAGCAAGTATGTGATTGTCATTGCTGTCTAAATTGTAGATGTATATAGAACAAAACAGGACACACAAAACACGGAATCCAAGCAGCACACCAGTATCTGCTTGCCCGGCTCATGTTCCAAGGAGGGCACAGTGCTCTTGAGCTGCAATGTAGTGACATCATGCTGGATACCACTGGCAGAGTTAAATTTTTCATTTAGTATGTACTACATAACCACCCTGCATACAGCAGAATATTAGGAGGCCTAGGGGTTATAAAGAATGACATATAACCAGTGGGAAGACTTATCTCTATATTGCATTTAAAAATGAGAAGGGCAAGGTCTTTTCACAATCTTTAAATACCCCACTAGCAGAATCATTCATAAATCCTTAAATGTCCTAGGATAAAAATATGACTGCAAATAATTACTATGAAGTAATAAACACAAAGATGTATATAAGTCACTTGTATGTGCCAGGAGATACAATCTAAGAATTATCCTAGAGCCAAAATGAAAGAGCTACTTGTACCTGCTCATCACTTCTATGTATCATTTTACAGCTGAAGAAACAGAAGTTTAGCAAGGGTGATTTGGCCAAACTTGATCAACTTTTAAACTGTTTTCTCTCTAGGTTAGAAGGTGGAATCAATGTGTAAGTGCTGTGGTTCAGAATTAAACTAGTAATTAAATGAAAGTCTTTTCATAAGTTAATTCTAAGACATAACCTTTGATAATTTCTTACTGTAGTTACCTGTTCCCACCTCAGGACCTGAACTGGAACTCACAGTGGCTTATGGACTGGCTTGGTGACTTATCTCTATGCAGTGGCTCCTAGACAGGTGCTGGCCTTTCAGCTGTTGATGAGCTACCCTAGAGACACATGCCATGGGGTAAACTTTACTGAGCCGCTAAGTGCACTTTGAATATTGCCGAGAATTAGTCATATGAATGAGCCTGGTCTGCTACCTAACATCTGAACCTGAGGTACTCTTCTACACTAATCCTCAACATAGGTTCATTAAGGCTTATACTCCAAGATGTAAACTTACCACAACAAAATATGATATTATACTTGGTCCAAAATGATAAAACTGCAACTTAAAAAAAAAAGACATCTTTATTGAAATAAGTTAATCCAGTGGGTCTGAGAAAACCCAAATCAGTTGGTTAGGGCAATAAGAGCTTCCACCACGTTGCCCATGTGTTCCCTCAAGCTCCGTTCTGCTGCTGCTCGGGAGATCTCCATCTCTGTCATCTGCAGGAAAAGGATCAATGATTTTACCGAAGTCTCCTCCTGGGCAATAAGGTGCCAGCAAAACGTGAGGACTCCACTTGTTTGAGCAAACAAAAGACATATTCCCCACCCACAGAACAGTCACGCATTACTACTCACTATCAGCTCCAGATCTTCCTTCTTGATGGTGACTTTTGCCAGTTCCTTCTCCCTGAAAATATTCAGGTACTTTAGTCCTCATTTTCTACCTCCACCATAAACTCCCAGAAAGGATCATTCCCAGTTGTGCCTTACAAATAAATGACTTGATAAACATTGTTGACTGAAAATACGTAAGGACTCCCGCTCCCTCGCCTAACATCCCATCCCATCCCACCCCATCCCCTGGAATATTTGTAGCAGGCAGGTGTAGCCAGGAGGTCTTTCCTTCCACCAACAAAACTGTAAAGTCGTAAATCTTAGGTCTGCAGAAATTGGTGATAGAGCTGAAGAACAGTACTAAGTACAAAAGCCTAACGATGGCTTTTTTTCTGAGTGGGGCGGGTAGGTAAGACTTACCGCTCCTGTTTGGCTTTCTGCTCCCGGGACCGTCTATCTCCAATCACGGACATAGCCTATGGGACAGACAGATCTAGTTACTGCTCTGCTACTCACAATTCCTAACAATCTAAAATACCAGTAACAAACGAGTGAGGTGTGGATTCATAATGACGAGCGAACCAGGAACCCGGGTCTACGTTTAGTTCAATTCTGCGCACATGAGACCCATTTTAAACCCCATGTCCATCAAGCTCCTTTTCTCAAGCGGAGGGGCCGAGTGACAGTTCAGTTTCCCTCTCGCCTCCTCCCACCAGCGGGATGCGGGCCCCTCCTGGAACCAGGCTTGCCATTTCGGCCTCCGAGCCCCGTCTGCTCTCAGCCTGCCCAGACACGCTGCCCGGCCAACCTCACCGTCTCCAGATTGGAACTCTGGATCTCCTTCTCTTCCGCATAGTCGGTGACTCGCTCCAGGTCCGCCGCACCACTGTCATGCTTCCGTGGCTTCTCCGGAGGCCGCTCCGGACCGCTCGTCTCTGTCTCCAACTCCAACTCCACGTCCCCTTCCGTCGCCATATCGATCCCAACGCACCGCCCCACAGGCCCGGCCCCGCCTTAGAACGACTTCCGGCAACTACTCGCAACTTCCGCCGGGATGGGGGGCGGAGCTGGCCCTGGGCCACACCTTCTTTAGTGCGCTGGTTCTAGAAGCTTCAGCAAGCAAAGCAGTTCGGCTCTCGGGCTTTCTTTCGGGCTTGCACAGTGTTTTATGCCAGGCCGTGTCCCAGACCTAACCCGTCACCACTGCAGACCATCCCAGCCTTTCTTAAACTCGGTCCAGCCCACACACCCCAAGGAACTCTGTTCAAGATGAATGACGTCTAATCCTAAACCAATTAAGAATGCTAATCTACAGACCAGATAGGCAAACTGTTCCCTAATCTGGGGAGAACAGCCTGAGTAGCCCAAGGCCCCTGGGAAGAAAGTAGTTTCACAGGGTATCTGCATTTTCCATGACCCGGGGGATCGGTGTTCTTTTCCTGGTATCCCTCCCCATTCTGCCTTAAACTGGGTGAACAGCCCGGGATAGCAGGAGTCCAATGGGCTGAGGACGAAAGAAAGCTTCTACTTTCTCATCTGCCTTCCATCTGGTGGACCTGGGCCTAATCCCTGGTAGAAGGATGGTGGGTGCAAAAGCGGTCACAAGTCCCAACACCTCCCTCCGCCTGGCACCGCAACGCAGGGGAGTCAACAGTGTCATAGTGAGTCCTCCCTTCTACCAGGTGAGAGGGTACGTGGGCAGAGAACTCCCTGGAGCAAGAGCTGTCTGAAAAGGGGAAGGGAATGGTGGCTGAAGCTGTGGAGGAAAACCCACGGGAGCTGGTAAACATGGCAGACTTGCCATTTGCTGCTGAGGCCTTCTGCTTCTTTGGATCTAAGACTACTTATCATTAAACCTCTCCTCCTATTTTCCTGGTACCAGATGTCTAGGTCCTGGGAAATATTAGCGGTCAGATGTGACAGGCTCTTAGGAAGTTCTGCCAGTTATGTTAATCTCTTATGATGAAAGCTCTACCTGAGGTCAGTGGAAAGCAATCCTAAACAGCTCGGAACCAGACAGTCTGAGAATTCCTAAATGAGAGGAGAGAGGGGAGGGGGATATTTAGGAGTTCAGCCTCATGGGTTTACCTCGCAAATGTATTAATGTAAGCCTATCCTCAGCAAATCTCTGCCTTGCTGCCTTGCATCCGCTCTGCCCTCAGGTGTCCTGCTGCGGGCCTGCTCCCTGTACCTGCTGCTGCCCTTCTAGGTGGCCCGCTCTCACAGAGTCTCCCTGCAGCCGCCTGTTCTACATCCTCCTCCACGTGGGCACCTCAGCAGTCTGCTGCCTCCTGCTGTCAAGGACAGTGATGGAAAGAGTCTGGGGCAAGGCACATGGGGTACGTGGGAGGAGGCTGGGCTGCAGTGGGAAAGGATAACAGGAGAAAAGTCTGAGGTAAACGAGATTTGGCTTGAGGGTAGGGGACACATGAGTGGACATACCCACGAGTAGGTACTTCTCTGTGCATGACTTGTCCAGCCATTTCTCACATGTACCTCCCCTCCAGATCCAGATGCCCTCAGGGCTGTGTGCCCATCTGTTTGGCCTCTCTCACTGCCCAGTGCTTAGCGGCTCTGGGGCTGTATACCGAGTATGTGCAGGAACTGCCACCTTCCACCTGCTGCAGGCTGTGCTGCTGATCGACCTCCACTCCCGCACCAGCCTAAGAGCACAGCTACACAATAGGTCTGTGTGTACTCTGGGTGGGGAGAGGACAGGGAGGGAAGTAGACACAAGCTGAGTAAAGGAAATTTCCAGATGAAGTCACAGCACTGTAAAAAGACAGAGAACAGGTTTAAGTCCCTGCTTCCACTATACTTGCTGTGTAACCACAAGAAACACACTTACCCTCTTTGATCTTCTAGTTTTCTGAAATGGAGATAACAGTGGAGTTACTATATGCAAACCCTCTGTCATCTCTAAAACACTGTCCAGATGTTACTTAGGTGTCAGAGTTTGGAACAGGCTGTGATCAGCCTGTCCCCAGCCCCTCCCACACGGGACTGGCTCCTCCCCTCCTCTACTAAGTTGCCTCGCTTCTCCCCTTTCCTATATTTCTGCTTTCTCCTTTGCCTATTCTGAGACATTTTCTTTGCTTCTTAACCAGTTTCTGGCTCCTCAAGCTGCTATTCCTGCTAGGTCTCTGTGCTGTTGCCTTCTGCATCCCTGATGATCATCTCTTTCCAGGTATGTTCTATTTCATCCTGATCAGCAGGTGTAAGCTAAAAGATTTTCTAAGAAAAAAATCTTCCCTGGCAGTCCAGATGCTTCCAATCCAAGGGATGTGGGTTTGATCCCTGTTTGAGGAACTAAGAACCCACAAGCCTCGAGGCACAGCCAAAAAAATAGGGTAGGAAGAGGACCAGGAGTAATGATATGATCAGTTACATTTTTCTACTGGTGCCTCACCTGCAGCCTGGCATTACATTGGCATATGTGGCGGCTTCACATTCATCCTGCTGCAGCTGGTGCTTATTACTGCCTTTGCTCATTCCTGGAACAAGAACTGGTAAGGAGCACATAACCCTGAAGGCTCCCTGGGAAATCTGACATTACTAGACCCAGTCAGGTTGGGCAAAGGACATGACAGCTTGATGATCCCAAAGCTTCCAATTAAGCAATATGGAAAAACTCAGGAATATGATGGCTCTAGGCCAGGTAGGATAGACAAGTCTCACCAATCTTCTGGGAGAGGGGGAATAGCTGATAATTGGTAAAAGCAAGAGTTGGGAGCCCCAAGCCACTGCCCACCTCCCACTCTTAGGCAAACAGGTGCAGCCCAAGACTGTCGCTGGCTCCTCGCTGTGCTGCTGACCACCCTAGGATTCTACAGCATGGCAGGTGCAGCAGCCGTGCTCCTGTTCCAACACTACACGCACCCAGCTGGCTGCCTGCTCAACAAGATGCTGCTTAGTCTGCACCTTTGTTTCTGTGGCCTCCTCTCCTTCCTCTCCATCGCTCCCTGCATCCGCCTCAGTAGGTACATGCCTTACAGCATTAAAGATTTGGGGGGCCTTTAGTATAGCAAATTCCACTGTACTCAGTCACTTCAGTCATCTCTCTATACAACCCCTTTGCAACTCTATGGACCACAGCCCACCAGGCTCCTCTGTCCATGAGCTTTTCCCATGGCAGATTTATCATGGAGCCACCAGGGAAGCCCAGATAGCAAATTTCATTTGCCTCCCTAATCTCAACCAATTCTCTGCTTCCTCCAAAGGGTGGGGAGACAGAAGCACAGGTGAGGGTAGGAGTGAAGGAAATTAGTACCCACTAGGCTAATGCAATGATTTCCCTTCTCCCCAGAGCAACCTCGCTCTGGCCTTCTACAAGCCTCTATCATCAGCTGCTATATCATGTACCTGACATTCTCTGCGCTGTCCAGCCGTCCTCCAGAGAGTGGTAAGGAAAGGACCTGGATTCTTAACAAGGTTTACCCATGCTAAAACCTTTTTCGCTCCTGCCAAATACCTAGCTCTTTGTTCTCATCATCTTTCTCTTCTGTTGCCTTGCCCTTTCTCAGTAATCCTTCAAGGACAGAATCACACTCTGTGCCTGCCTGGCCTGAGTAAAATGGAATCCCACACACCAGATACTTCTCTGGCAATGATGAGTGCTGGCATCATGTATGCTTGCGTGCTTTTTGCTTGGTGCGTAAAAGTGTCAAGGGAAAGGTGTGAGAAGGGAGGATGCTCACAAGGACAGGGATTGTTAGGAGATAGTCTGGGGCCATGGTTTATTTAAACTTTAAAGGAAGGTAAGAGGAAAGCTCCCCATAAACAAAAACAATTTCTAAGAATAGCACCCGTCAGATGATCTGTATGAGATGAAGGGGACAGGGGAAATGACTTGAGAAACTAAAAGCACAAAAGATTTCAGGGCCCCACATGAAAAACTTTCAAAATTTTGGGGGGAAAGGGGCTTTGGGAGATCACTACCCTCCTGAGTTACTAACAGGGACCAGCTGGGAGTAAATGCCATCAGGTAACCCTCCTGCTATTTGACTCTATCAACTTGAGAACTGTCTCTTCTCAGCAACGAGGCTTCTTACCTGGCTGAGGTATTTGGGCCCTTGTGGATTGTCAAGGTTTACAGCTATGAGTTCCAGGTGAGGATGGATAGCTCAATATCCCCAGTACCCCAACCCCCTTCACACATAGCAACACACACACACATCCTATCAACCTCTACCCAAAATGCTCAGATTCTAGCTGCTGTTACCTTTTATTGAGTACCCACAATATGCTAGGCACTGTGCTAGATACTTTACATACACAATCTCATTTAATTTAATCCTCACAACAACCCTGTGAGGTAGGTGTTTGCTCCATTTTACAAATGGAGAAATTGAGGCACAGAAGGTTAAACATCTTACCAAAGTTCCCATAGCCAGTCATACACTGGAGCTAGAATTTGAACCCAGGTGTGCCTCCACTTGTCACACCACACCAATCTTTTTAAAGAGGAGGAGTTTCCTATACTATTACCCAGAATATCTTTTTCCAAAACATGCTGGCTTTCATTTTACAGAAGCCCTCGCTCTGTTTCTGCTGCCCTGAAACAGTGGAGCCAGAGGAAGGTGAGTGTCAAATGAGGATCCGATCCCTAAGTGTATTTCTGCAGAATGCCAAAGAGTGCAAATGCCTTCATGAAAGAGGCTGGGGGAAGGAAGAGGTGTTTGAGCAGCTCTGCTACCAGCAGTTCTTTCCTTTCTCCAGGGCCAAGCAGTGTGGCTGCCAGGCCAGCTGACCAAGAGACCTCTCCAGCTCCTCCAGTGCAAGTCCAGCAGCTTTCCTATAGCTATTCTGCCTTCCACTTCGTCTTCTTCCTTGCATCACTTTATGTCATGGTTACCCTCACCAACTGGTTCAGGTAGGATGGAGGGGGGCCTGGGATACTCTTCCAAAAACCTAGTTGTTTTAAGGAAAAGAGCACTTCAAGGCCAGTCCTGAGTTCTCCCGAGACACACACGAGTCTACCATATTCTTTGGTGGGGCAGTAGGATAGCTCTAAGCTCTGAAAGTCACAGCCCTGCAGATTCTCTAACCAGAGACTTTGGTTCCACAGCTATGAGGGAGCAGAGCTGGAAAAGACCTTCACCACAGGTAGCTGGGCTACCTTCTGGGTCAAGGTTGCCTCATGCTGGGCCTGTGTACTCCTCTATCTGGGGCTGCTACTAGCACCATTCTGTTGGTCCCCAACCCCGGACCCCCAGCATCCTATCTTCAGGCGACATTGTCATCGTGTCAGTATTGCCAAATGACAAATATCCAATCTAGGTACTTTTCATAAACTGGAATTCCCTTGAACTGGAGTTACCAAGTCTTAACTCACAGGAACTGTCCAGCCCAACAGATTCCTCAAAGACACAATGGGAAGTTACCTCCCTTTAAGTTGAAGTCAGTAGTTACATCTGACTTGAAAAAAGTGGCCACACACACCCTAATACCCTGGGCAGAGTATCTGACTCACTGGAGCTACCGTTACTTCTTCAACCCAGCTGAAGAGCCTGTTTCCAAGTCAGCAGCTCAGGAATCACTGCTAACCCAGCAGACAGTGTGGCACCAGTTCATTCCTGGCTCTCATGGTAGAGATGGGGGCAGGGAAAGACCAAAGGAGACCAAAGACTTACTTGGCTTTGCCTTTGGTGATAAAAAGGAAAACAGAAGTCCAACCCTGAGTACAGGGATGTAAGAAGCCCAGAACCCTAGAACAAACCAGGACATAGGAAGAAAGGCGCACAGAGACTACCCTCAGTTTTAATCCTGATGTTGAGGTCAAAGGAAATGGGAAGACAAAATCTACCCTCATTCCATGAGGAATGACAGAAGAGAATGTGAACACTTGAGAGCAGCTAACCATGGGAACTCCGTCAACAGCAGGGTCTGGGCCAACTTTCAAGCATAGGAACAAAGTGAGGAAGAATGAGGAAGAGGGAGCATAAATTTAGGTCTTGCAGCCTTCCTTCTCAGGACCTCAACTCCATCCTTAGGATGATGTCTCAGGTCTGAGTGAGTGACAAAAACCACAAAAAAGAAGTCCCTACAGCTCTTAAGAGGATATCTCTACCACACACCCAATACTTGTCTGTCTGTTGCAGTACAATAAAGAATTTTTCTGTGATGTTTAAACTTAGCCTACATATCCACAACCTTTCAGAGTATGAAATTCCCTTCCCTTTTGGTGGGAAAGGGCAGCCATTCCTCCATCCCCATCCCCCCAAATCCCCAGTCAAACCAGGCGCTCAAGGAATTACAAAGCTACTTTTAATACTTTGGGGTGAGCCCCACAGGAATAAAAAACACTGGGAGGGGGTAACCCCCTCACCCCCAGGAGTGGCCCAGGGGGAGAGAGGCTACCTGAGGGGAAGGAAGCACGAAAGGGACCCGCTGCAGACTCAGGGCAGAGGGAGTGCCATCGGTGCTGGGACCCGTGAGCACTACAGGAAACCGCGAGCGTGGTGGGACTGGCTCCAGGCACACAGGCGAAGGGCAAGAGGGCTGGACACGAAGCCACAAAGCTACTTGGGTTCCTCCTTCTTCTCGTTTGCCTTTTTCTGCTTCTGCTGCATGATCTCCGAGTCCCTAGGGGTAGAGATGATGGGGCACTGGGAGGTACCAGAGGGCAAAAAGGACAAGATGCAGGGGGATGAAGGGCACAAAGGATAAGATGGAAGTGGATGGGACAAAATTCAGCATATGGCTGCTGTATTCCCACCCTAGGAGAACAAGAGGAAGAGAGCTGAGGCTCAAAAGGCAGTCAGTCTCTATCTGGCTGTTGCCCAAGGGGTAAGAAAAGTCTGGCCACACAGGCCCAAGGCTATTCTGTGCAGAGTACCACACCCCACCACACCAGTGAGAAGGTTGGGAGAAGGGAGGGCAAATGAACAGCAAGGAGGGCCAAAAGTACGGGGCTGTCATAACCACTACTGCATTTGAAATGTGAAACTCCCTGCCCTTGCCCTTAAGGTCAGACCCGGGGGCACTCAGAAACCAGACCGAGGGCAGCACCCGTCCCAGTCCCTTCCTGTAACGCTGTGAACTAACAATTTAGAGGGTGAGAGGAATAAAACCCTATTGGAAACAATGCACTCTGCCCCTCACGGCTAGTCCAGATGTAAGCTCAGAGCTAACTTTTCCAGGTACAACCCTCGGTCTAAACCCAGGTCTCACCCCACCCTCCCCTCCCCTCCCTGGGGCTACCTCTGCTTGCGGGCGGCAGCAGAAAGCCCGTCATCTCGGCGCTTTCCCTTAACCGAGTCGCTCTGCTTTTTCATGTTCTTCTGGCGGGCGAGCTCGCGCTGGTTACCGCCTAGAGAAAAAAAAATAAAATGATGAGACGCGAGGGCCCTTCCGGCCGCACACCGGCGACCCTCTCCCCTCACCAGACACCAGTAGGCTCCCACACTTCATTCCCGGGGCGCCGACACCGGCCCGTTTCTGGGCCTGGGCTGCAGATTCGGCGGGGGAGGTGAGGGGGGGGAGCTGCCACGGGGCAGGTCAAACTGGAGAGTGGACAGAGGACGGTTCTGAGGAGCCTGCTGGAGGCGTGTTTCGAATTTCGGCGCAGCATGAGGACCCAGACAGGTAGTGGCGGTGTCTGCAGACGGTCTGGGTCTCTGTGGGGGATGGGCAGGGATCCGGAGTAGGGGGCTCTGGGTCTATCAGAGGCGCGCAACTCTTCCCACACCGCGGAGAACCGAGGAGGGCCTTTGCCTGCCAAGGAGCCGGGGGGTTGGGGGGGAAGGCTCTCAAGAAGTAGCGGTGGGCAAAGGGTCGATTTCCGGGCTCCGAGTGTGAGGGTGGCTAAAGAGCGCTCCCAGAGAAAGGTCTCCCTGGGGAAGCCAAGAGGAGGTCAATGCCGAGGTTCAGCAGTCGTGTTCAAGGTAAAGGGGGAGAAAAGGGCAAGGAGAGAGGGTCTCAATGCTCACGGGTCATGGCGACGGCAACGGCTCCGGCCTGCCTCCGTTGCGTCCCCTCGTTCAGTACGACGTTACAGGCCCCGCCCCTTTCTCGCAGCGTAACGAAGTCGTCTTTTACTCCCCTCCCCTTCGCGCCCTGGCGCCGATTCCTATTGGTCAGGAAGAAACACATGTGGCCGCGGGCCACGCTGGAAGTCCGGCGGACGAGAAGGGGAGGTTCGCAGGCCAAGCGCGCTGCGTGGGGCGGGGCTTTCCGAGCAAGTCGTTAGGTCGGGTGGAGCGAAAGTAGGCCAGCTCACGTGACCAGGGTCGGCGAGGGGGAGGTGGAGGGGTGCGGCTGGCGATGTGGCACTCCCGCGGGCTCGGGCACGTGACTTGGCAGAGTGACCTCATACGGGGATGGTTTGAGACACAAACTCATCCGGAGGGAACGCTGGGGGAACAGAGTTGGGGAGGCTTCGGGGGGGCTGAGTTGGTCCGACTGGCGCTGTTACCAAGACTGGAACAAAACGCCGGTATTACTTAGGATCCTTCCCAACCAACCATCTATTTGAACACTTGAGTACACAAAATCATGTACCAGACAACTTAACAAACTGCCTTCCAACATGTTCGCCCATCCCAAACTCCAATATAGAGATTCGCGGCCACATCCAGTATGTACAAAAATCTCGGCCCTGTTCATTTGCCCACAGAAGCTTTAAATATGTAGCTTGGCAGCTTTTGAGGACCCCAAAGTCGCAGACTGTGCCCTTGTATCAGGGACTCAGAGACTGGGAGATGCACATACTATGTTCATTTCTCCTTTGGCGTTTCCTCCGCTACACTGTATCTACCAGCAACACCTGGTTTTAATTGGCAGTTGAATGGGGCTGGAAGCTTAGATTTCCCCCTCTCATTCCCAGATTCACTAATATGTCTACAAGACTCCCCACCAGTCGTGAGGAATTTACTGGATAAAGGAGAAGTGTGTTAGTTGCCCTGTCGTTTCCCGCTCTGTGACCCCCATGGACTGGGGCTAGCAGGCTCTTCTGTCCATAGGATTCTTCAGGCAAGAGTACTGGAGTGGGTTGTCATTTCCTTCTCTGGATAAAGGAGAAATGTTTAGGAAATCTCACAGGAGAGGATTAGTTGTAAATTTCAACTTATCCTCTCCAGCTAGTGCCCACAGTAAAACCAAGATGAGGCTAGAACTACAAACTGTCTTCTCTCTCAACGTGAAACTGGGCCAGGGAGGGGCACAATAAACCTCATTCAGTATTATCATCACAATTTTTGCCATACCCAGGTATCACCTGAACTACTACTATTTATTACTTGAAACTTTCATATTTGGAGGGCGGAAGTTGTGCTGCCCTGCAGTGCTTATGGGGATTTCAGTTCCCTGACCAGGGATTGAACCTGGGCTGAAAGCACCAAATCCTACCACAAGACCTCCAGGGAACTCCTTGTATCAGTTTCAAATGCAGGATATAATGCAAAATTCATATTTCTTTAGTAAATTTAAAAAAAAAACAGCGTCTGGTGATTCATCACTTCTGATGCTAAAAGACATAGTGACTTTTGCTTTCCTCTCTCTCTTGGATCACTGGCTCATGGAGAGCCAGCTGCTATTATCAGAAGGAGAGGCCCATGGGGTGAAGAACTATGGTCACTGGCCAACAGTCAGAGGGTAGAGAAAGTACTTCCACTTTAACTCAGGATGGGAGTTGGAGTTGAGAGTTAGGGACTAAATTAGAGAAAATGGAGATCCAAGGCTCTGAAGCAGAGAAGGAGGTGAGGTGGGATTTAAGGATACCACATATACAGTGAGTAGATGAGGAAACTGGACTTCAAGGATAGGGACAGCATCGCAGACCTAGAGCCACAGACAGACCACGGTTCACAAAAAGAAGTTGGACTCTCTGCTTTCCTAGCCCCAGGTTCCCATGGTCCCCTTGCATTTAGAGAGACTACAAAGCCAGCCCCATGGAGAAAGCCTAGCTAGCCAAGGATGAGTGAAATAGTGCAGGATGAGGAAGCAATTTCTCTCTTGGCACATGCTACCTCTTTATCAGCTCCAGCAGAGAGAGAGTAGAACAACCCTGTGACCAGTCTCCTCTTATTTAACTTACCCAACACTATCCCCTTGTTCGAGAGTCTGTTTCCAATCCTAACAAAACCTAGGCTGATTGCCACAACTCCTAATCTAACTTTTCCTGAAATTGCCAAAGAAGTCACTCATTCTTTGGACAAATATTCATTGTGTTATGCACCAAGGATGTACCATCTATTGTATTAGTCACTAGGTTTACAGTGATGAACAAAACATATGTATCACCAGACTCATAGAACATATAGTATAGAGAAAAAGAAGAAGCTCTATCTATGTATACAATACATATATAAGTATGCATGCGTGCATGCTAAGTTGCTTCAGTTGTGTTCAACTCTTTACGACCCTGTGGACCATAGCCCATAGGGCTTCTCTGTCCATGGGATTCTCCAGACAAGAATACTGGATCGGGTTGCATGCCAACCCAGGGATCGAACCTGTGTAAACCCATATATCTTATGTCTCCTGCATTGGAAGGTGGGTTCTTTACCACTAATGCCACCTGGGTTAGTCGATAGGTAATAGATAGTATAGGCAAGTAATAGGCAAGCCAACTGATGCCTGGTGAGCATGGTATGAAACTAGGTCAGGAAGTAGGCAGGGTAGTTATATGATCTGAGTCATTACTGCTAATACCACTACTAGCTAACATTAAGTGAGTGCTTATTAAGTTTACTTTTCTTATTTGGACCTTACAATGACCTTTTGAGGTGTCATTATCCCCTTTCTACTGATTTAGAAATTTTGGCACAGTCAGGCTAAATAACTTTCCCAAGGAAGCACAGACAGTAAAGGGTGAGGCTGAGAGTTTAACCCAGCCCCTGATATTCATCAGGATGTAAATTTCTTTTTTTAAGAGATCACTCTGTGAGAGGAAAGTGGATTAGAACAGATAAATGGAAATGGGGAGATCAGTCAGGAGGCTCTCACAGACATCCAGGATGCTAAGCCTAACTGGGTAACAGATCATTGAAGTTAAGATCAGTTTAGGCAGAAAGGGGAATTTGTTGGTTTACGTAACCAAACTAGGACATGGGCTGCAACGTGAATGATTGTAGGGTAAACTAAAACCAATAACAGGGGGATGCCTCCCCATCTCTTATTTTTGCTCTG